GCTAAAACATCCAAATTTACCACTAAAACATTCTAAGAAACTACTAAAAACTATCTAAATTCATCAACAAAAGCATTAAATTATGCTACTAAACACAAACTTTACCTCCAAAGCAAACATAAAATGTACAATTATACTACTAAGTCCTCAAATCTATCACCAAAAACATCCTATTGTATTATCAACCCACAAATTATCGTTAAAACATTCTCTAAACCATCTAATTTCATCAATAAAGTATTCTACTAAGCTACTAAACTGCAAAATTACCTCTAAAACAAACCACAAAATGTCTAAAATCTATAGGAAAACCAAAATTTATTTTACTAAACAATTAAAGAATTCAAATTTATCATTGAAAGCACCCTGCTATGCTACCAAAGAGCAAACTTACCAATAAATCAGATCTAAAATAACTGAATTTACCACTAAAACATTCTAACAAACTACCAAACCGTCTAAATTTTTCAACAAAAAACATTCTACCACCACACTGAAATCCAAATTTACCTCTAAACATACCGAATTTACCTCTAAAACATTGTTACCAAACCATTTAACTTTATCAAACATTCCGCTAATCCACTAAGCAAACCTATCTCTAAACATACCGTAAAATATCAAAAATCTACCACAAAACCACCCAAATTTACCTCAAAACACACAGCAAAACACCCAAACCTACTAAAAAAACACTCATATTTACCCCTAAACACACAACAAAATACCCAAATGTACTAAAAACGCCCACACCTACCTCTAAACACATAGCAATGTATCAAAACCTACAACAAAAACCATCCAAACCTACGTTTAAACATACATCAAAATACCCAAATTCTCCAAAAAGCACCCAAATTTATCTCTAAAGTATCCAATAAAATAAAAATAATTAACATTTTAAAACACCGCCTTATAAAGAAAACTAACTTATCCATACCCAAAACACTGCAATTTACATTTTAAATAGAAATTCACCACCCAAAAAAATAAAAATTAAAAAAAAATCTTCTCTCGAAAGGATTATAGAAAGGAAGACTTAAATTTCTTCCTTTTTTTAATTTTTATAAGACTGCTGCGTGTAGACTAAACTATATTTCGGGTTCATTAATACTTACTGAAATTCCGTGTTTGAACTAAAATAGCTAGAAACGTGCGTGATGCCGAGACGTGAGGATCTAACCAACTGTTTCCTTTAATTCTGACCTAGATTGATAACCGAAGATAAGTTTTTGAATTCGTTTCAATGTATACAGATGTTCTCTAAAAAGTTCCCTTTTTTCCCCTTTATCTATAATTATTTTAAAGTATCTTCCATTCTTCCAAGCTAAGGACTTGTTCACTCGACTTGCACGCGGTTCTATACAATTATTTCGCAGAAATTAAGCTATTAAATAAGATTTTAAAGAGAATTTTATGGCTTGGTAATGATTTAAATGCATAATCTTCCGCCATTTTTATTACGTGTGTCTCCTCTTTGCCATCCTTTTAACGTCTTTATACAAACTTCGAACGGTTGTTGAGCGAAATTTTGCTATTTTGTTAAATTTTTTAATAAATTCGGCGTCTATTTGTGTGTAGAAACGCTAAAATGCAGTAAATTTGTCAAATCTTTAATTCGAATTCAAATTTATCCCAATCGACCAATTAGAATAAACTTCAATAAAGTGAGAACCAATCCCGACGCGGTTTATAAAGTCGGTTATCCCAATAACCGACGAATCGAGATGCGAGAATTTAAATTTTAAAATGAGCCAATTAGCGCAATTTTTATAAACTAATTGCTCTATTAGTGGATCGCGAACCAATCAGTGTGATGCTTACAAAATAAACTTTTTTTTTAACTAATATGAATTATGAATTAAACCAATTAGCTTAATGCTTACAAATTAATCTCCGCTAACGGTCCTAATCTGCATAATGCTTATATTATAACTGTGCTGATAGAAAATAAAATAATCAGCTTAAAGAAAAATAATATAAATTAATTGTTTGTCGTAAAGAGTGAAAAACGAGTTGAATACACATACCAAAAAAAAAAAAAAATTCGAACCAATCAGATAATCTCTTGTATATCAATTAGTCTCGTATGATTGCAGAATTGAAATGAGAGCCATCTGCATATTAATTAAACAAGAAAAATTTTTACAGCCCAACTGTAGCCCAATATAAAATAAATTGATAACTCAAGAAATTATTAAAATTAGTTATTAAAATATTACAATAATAATCGTTAATAAATTAATTATTAACATATCTTATGAATCTCAAAACAAGAAGTTATAAATCTGAAATTTGGATGGAAGCCATTTTGACAGTTTACACAAATTCATCATTTGATATCTCTTACCCTTCCATTTTACTTTAATTATTTTAAAAAGCGTTTTCTTTGCTATATTTATCACAGAAAACATCTAAAATTACATTTCTGTTCAAGATAGAAGTGACTTGTAATTCGCACCCGCTTAAAACAGGATAACTTTTAAACACAGAAAAAACTATTTGAATGACGTCGGACGACCCGATGCTCACCTCTTGACCCTGAGGTCATAAAGCACGTGCGACACAACAGTTACGACTCACATGTTGGGTGTAGTGGTCTGACGAGTCGTGTCTTTGCTATCTGTTCTGTCATCGGGGGTGTAATAGCGAATCGTCATCAGCTGGTTGCTACTAATCGTCCCACTCCACTTTAGAGGTTCTTCATTCTTTACGCTACCTTACCAAAGTCGCGAGGTTGCAGGGCAGAGAAAGAATAAATAATAAACTTCATAGTATCATCAGAATTCCCACACCGCTTCGTAATTATTCTAGTTAGCTTTTGGGGATTCACGATTCTCCCCTTTGCTTAGGGTTTCCTAGAAAGTTGGGGTTACGCCTCTGTTTCCACCTTCCTCATTAGTTACAGTAGTATATCTGACCTGATTTCTACAACCGCAACTTTGTTTCTAAGCCCTTAGAACACGCTCACGTATACTAGAAATTTGGGAGGTGCAATTAAGATCACAAACAAAAACTAACTAAGCTGTTGTAAATTATCTGGTGAGAGTATATTTTGTCTATTTAAGATAGTCAACGCACTTTGACCAGTTACAATAATCGCCCCGCTAACTTTTATAGTGGACAATAAAAATGCTACGAGTAACAAAAAGTCAGCCTTTGGGCAGGACAAAGCAGAGCCTCCAGCGGGTTGGGAGGTTTATCTGTTTGGGTGGAGGGGACAAAAGGGGCCAAGTTATGAGCAGCAACGCCCACGTGACCCCTCGAAAAAGGGGGCTCTAATGATAGCCGGCTCTACCATACTTCCGCAAAAATCCCCGTCCGAAACAAGGGTGGAATGGTTCACCTTCTTAAGGGGTTTCGGGCCACCCGCGCGATTAACTCGACCCCCATGCCCAGAAAAGCCGTTTCTTCGATACTTTGTAAGTGTAATTAATGCTCCCATTCTCTTTTATACCACGTCGATGGGTCTTAAGGTCGTCTCGGACCCTCTTGCCCTTTGACCCAAACCGATTTTAGCACTATAATTCCGCATTGCAATAACAATACTTAACGCTACGCATAGAGTAATTGGTTATAATTGAAGAATCCACCCGAATTTTAGAAGATTTCAATAAGAAGTTACATAAACTCCCGTTTTTTTTTTTCTCTCTCTCTCTGAAGTTGCGAAGAGTGCCCTTTCTATGTTTGCACTGAAACAAGAAGCAGATCTCGCGCCTATATTTTTAATTGGTGAGCTCCGTACGTGCTCAAGTTGAGGAGGGGAAGACGAGATTCTCCATCGACCCCCCCGAAAGCAAGGCATGTCGATATGGGGTGTCCACATTCTCGCCCCGCTGTTTGACACACTACCGTTGAAGTAGACAACCTGCAGGGAGAAAGAGGAGGAGCCGCTACGTGGTTCTTAACTTCTTTCTCGACTAAATTGTCTACCGTTCTTTCGATAACGCTCCTTATAAATCTACAGAGGAAGGAAAAAAACACACAGGAGAGTAGAAGAAAAAAAAAATGTATCCACGAAACGGCTCCGAACACTAAATTAGCAAACAAGAATTTTACAGAATGGACACTTATAGTCGGTATTTATAACTAAACAACGTGACAAGTAATCCTACTTAACAGATTTGACTTTTTCAGTAGGAGCAATGGCGACATAAGACAAACCTAGACAAAGTATTGAATAAAATTTCGACGCATGCTCCTTCATTAATGGGATTTTTGCCAGAGTTTGGGGTGGTGCACAGAGTGGACCAAATGGCAAAACACCCCAAACACAGGGGGAAACACAGTAAACGCCCAAACTCGCTGCTACCTAAACAACTACTTTTTCTAACAACTAATCTTGTGATACAAATGGTGCCAACGTTCTTTCGGTTTGTAGATAATAAAAGAAAAGGGTTTCAGCCTTTATCACGTTTCATAATCGTATCGAATCGGTACGCACTAGTTTAATTGCCGTGTTTTCCTAAACACTAGAAAAGCCACCCTTAAAATTATTTCCATAGTTTCTAAGTGCAGGAAACAATCTTTAAAACAGGAAACGGTCTTTTAAAGTACGAAAAGTGGGTCAAGAAAAATGCATTTTTTAATTTAATTACGTATACAACTTGTTAAACGAAGCACTTAAAAATTCGCCCGCGTTTTTTTTTCTTATAGTGTTAGGTGTGGGAATCGTCTTCTACGAGTGACACACGCGTGATTGGCTAATTATACGTTTGCTTAATAAATTATCACGAGTAAGAGAACGTGACGATTCACGCCAATGCCCTAAGGTTTAATAAGGAGTTTAGTAAAGGAGAAAAACTCCTTAACGTAATTTATAGAATAGAAAATTTTCGATTTTTGTAGCAGGTGGGTGCGTGCTGGTATTTGTGAGAACTTGACGCAGAAAAGTTGTACAAGTTCTTAAATAGTACGGGAGACAAGGGACACAGGTCAAGTAAATAATGTACTATCGTACATCCTGTTATAAGAGATAAAAATTCACGGAAATAACTTACCAAAACGGCATTAGGTATAGAAACTAAGTGGCACCGCTTCATGATTTTTCGGCGCTGTAAGTATGCTTCTTTTACAGATGATGATGATGTCCGTCCTGCATGATGTTCGGCAAGAGACTGGGGGGCTAGTCCTGTGTTAGCTTAGTGGGTTCTCGTCTGTGGGCTCCGCACGTGGTCTCCGATGTGACCGCTCGCTGCAAAACAACTGAGATCAATGATACGTCGACCGTCCGGCTTATCACTCGGGTTCCTACCCCCCTTCTGATATCCCCTCCTTGTCGTGTGTCGCCGATACTGGCGCCAGAAACTGCGCATGCTTTGGCAAATTGCCCAAAGGCTATAGGGTAAAGGAGGGAGGACACAATATTTTTGACATCGGGTCCCGACAAAGCAACTAACTTCACTCACCAAAAAAAATCCTTATCAGGTGTAGGGGAGCGAAACGGGACGTGGGGGCACGAAAAAATTATAACCAAACACCAGACACGTTACAAAACTTGAGCGATGCTCGCCGGGTCGACAGATTGACTGGTGCGAATCTCTTCTCTGATACACGGAGCTAACGTGACCCGCCGTGACGTCATCACGCTTTGGGTGCCTTGTTCGTAAACCGGAATAGGTTAACGTTCCCTTCCACCCGTTACGCGTGACGTCGGAGAGCGTAACTTTTAAATAATTTAAATTTTTTAAACATTTTCTCGCGTCATGTATCACGTTAGATTAACTACTCGACCTACAGCATCGGTACCCCTTTCGTCTTTGGCTCGTAGCCATCTGGATACATCCCTCTCCTATCCAGTGAATGGAGAGAGATATACGTCTCGAGGAGCCTCATAACGTAAGCGAACAATTATGTCATTGAGTCTTGCGTGAAAACACAGACATTATGTGTCACATGTACCGCACGATGATGGATCTGACTCCTTTCTCCGATATATACCTTGGCAATTACACAGCACCTCTCCGAACCACGCTGTTGCTACCTTAATTATGCCATATATTTTCCACCCCCAACTTCCTCTTAAACCTCACAAAACGTCACGTGGCAATTTCCGATCGGAAGTTAAACAAGATTTTTAAAAGATTAAGAAACCATAAATCTACGGGGTGGTTATCGCGAAGGTTAAGAAAACAGAAACGTGCCGTTGTCACCTCTTCTTAACCAATGTCTCCATTTAAAAATTGTTTCGTATCCTTCCTTTATTTAAATTATAATACCGTTCTTTAATTAAGAAAGGTCTTTCTGGGAGGATAAATTTCCTCTTTCAAGGTCAAAAAATTATTATGAAGACGTGTCCCATACGACAATTAGGCACCTGCACCACGTGTTCAGGAAGTTGATTCAGTCGTGCCTTAATAACAACTGGCGCCTTATGCTGACTCAAGATTGTTTTTCAGTTGTTATAAACTTTTCTAAGAACTGCCCGATTGGTAGTTTGCATCTCTTCCTTGTAATTAATTCAAAACGTCCTCGCATCTTCACCCCTTTTCACTTAACGAACTTTACTCATAGAGAGTTCTGCTGGTCTCCTTCTTAAAATGCCAAAATTTTCGTAATAATTTCGCATTTATATCTCTGAAATTTCACGATAAAACTTTATTTTAAAAAATTTCACATCTCGTTCCTCTGTATAACTTAAAATAATTGTTTTTTCCTTTTTTTACATTGAGAAAAACTACATCTGGACATAAATTCGCTATTAATTTATGAATTTTATATATATATCAAAATAAAAATATATTATTTTAATTATATTTTACTTTTATTTTTTAAAATATAATGTAGTGTTTGCTTCACCCCTTTCATTTTTTAAAATAATTAACTTTACATACAAGGTTACATCCTTTATCATCTCAACATCCGGTTTTAACGATAAGATTTTCAGCATCCTTTTCCTCTTTATATCATTTTTAAAAAATAATTTTTTTAGTTAAATTTGAACTCATTTTTGCTCACTTTTTGGCTTTGTTCGTCGTCGTTTATCCTTTCTTTTTTAAAAACAATTCGCACTTTTTGCTCTCCATTTATGAACTTTTCCATATTTTACTTTTCCTCCACAACATCTTAGGAGTGTTATAAACTATAAACATCCCTAATTACTCTATAATATAATTTAATCATCATTTCTCTTCTTATTTTTCCTACTCCTCTCAGATCCTCATCCTGTCATCCGCATCCAGCATCCTCACATTGTCATCTTCATCTAGAATCAATTTTCCTATTGTAAAGACTTCTGTACACTTTTTAATCACTTTTATTTAAATTCTCATCAATTTTCTGTAATTATAATTAATTCCAGAAGATCATTAACACTAAGAATTTATAATTAACCATAGAAAAGAAACCATTGACATCAGATAAACTTTACAGCATCAGTCAGCATCCTCTCATAACAAATTCAGCACTTAAAATTTCGAACCAACTTAATTATACGATGACATATAACTGTAATTATACACCGTATACATATAAATTTTTCACTAAGAGTAACACTATAATAAATTAATTATTAAAATGTTTACATATAAAATAACTTTAGAGAATTAGAAGAAAATATAAATAAAAACTAAATAAATAAATCACACGTTTTAAATGAGTCTAGACGAATGTATTAATAAATAAAATATGTTTTTATACCCTTAAAAATATAATTATAAACATTCTAATTAAACAAAAAAAATGCTTATAAATTTAAGTTAATTTTCTTATCTTTTATTTTATAAAAAAGAGTCACCCCTTTAAGGGGGGAAAAATTATTTTTCGGTGGGATTTTTTTTCAGGGGGCGTTGTTACTTTAGAGACGGGTGACGTCATCCGGATGACTACTTTTTGACACTTTTCCAAGTGATGAGAACGTTGGAAGTTGGAAAAATCGAGGATTTTTTTACCTATTAAATTCCTTCCCTCCTCTTATATTCTATTCTACTCCACTATATAACACTGCCAAAATCTGATAAAAATTGGACCTCTGATAAACTATAAGTTGAATTATTGTGTAGGGTATGAATATATATACTTTTATCTATAACTTAACCCCCAATTGGAAGTGACCGGGCGTAAAATAAATTATAAAAAAAAGAGTGTATCTGATAAATCTCTGTACTAGTAACCTAGAAATGCAGTCTTTTCTTGACAAGTAGGAGAACAAAGGAGCGAAGATGAGAGTAAGGAGAGAGAGATTGGCACCTAGCTAAACACTTCTGACAGAAGGACACCCACCCTTCACACGCATGATAAAAGAATGTTCACTTCCCCCATTCTCACGTCCCCCTTTCTAACACAGGTATGAGGGTGTTATCATTTTTAAGTGATACGCCTTACGCTAATATTGAATTACTAATTTTTTTCCTATGAAAAGATTTGGTAAACACACCACCCCGAATATTCGTTCTGTTAATTTAATTCAACACCGCATCACGTGATCGAATTTTGACCTTTTATAAGTGGTTTAAATGCCGCATCTGGTATCTCCGATCGCGGTTTTTGGGTCGTAAACACCGATTTTTGCAACCTGTCGAAGGTTTTGTTGTCGGAGCGGGGGAGATTTCAGGGTTATAATTAACCGTGCTCGAGGAGAAGTCCGAAATGTGCACGGTAAATCGGAATTACTTCACTATAACAGCAGGTGGTTCGAGTGCGGGCTAACACGTGACCCGGACACAATTCCCCCTTCTAGAAAGAGAGAGAAAAAAAAGGAGGCGAGCTGCACGGAACGTGACGACTCGCTGATTGTGCGCCTCCTCGCATCCCTAATCTCTCCTCTGACCCCCTCAACCCTCAAACGACCCCGATGGTCCTCGTCCAACTTAACAAATTCTTCAAACTCCATCAATTTGACGTCATTTCTATCCATCGAACTACCTGACGACGTCGTAACGTAAAAGCCATCGAATGTCACATCTGCGACACCCCTTACCACTCGTAACTAACCTTATTTTAGGGTGTGGGTGGTTAAGAAAAAGGTAAGAGGGCCGAGCCGGGGTGGGGTAAGAAATTTGCACGTGCTGACTTCACGTCACGCTGATGCGATCTTTCGCTGTTTGCCTTACCTCGTGTATGTATACACGTGTGTGTGTGTGTGTCTGTATCCATATACACGTATTTTTTATCCCGTTTCGCCAGGTCAGAGGTCAACTCTAACCTCACCCAGGCCGGAAGTGACGTGTCATTAGTTGATCCAGCTTTATCACTTCGACGTATTTCCTGTAACGACTGATTGTAATCGGGTTATATTTACCTGTGACGTTGATAATACAGGGTTTGTATTTCTTTCACGCCTATGGAACCACTTTAATTTACAGTACAGGGAAGGAAGAAAGGAGGGAGGAAGGTGTGTGTGTGTGTATATATATATATATATTTTTTATAAAATTTACACAATGGTAGGGCGTCTAGTGTTTCGGATGATTTGTGAACTTATACAAAAACTCGACTTTATCCTTGGGATTTACAAACTCAACCTTCAAGCGCGAAATCAATTTAAAGTACTGTAACGGCGCGACACTTAAATGATAATGTAAACACTTAAAACGCATAAAATTAAATTATCGTTGGATTAAACTACAATTAACTATATAAATAATAAAGCTGTCACTACCAACGTGTAATTTACTGAGAATGATTTATAATTAACTAACAATAGTGATGCTAGAGATTTTTCTAACACTCTTCAAACAAATGGAGCAAAGTACAAGTTTTCAAGAATTTTTCTGTACTAAATCACTTTGGTTATACTTCTGAGAGTTCGTAGACACCATTCAATATAAAAAGATATATTTTAACTGAAAAAAATGTGAAAAAATGCAAAAAAAGTGCGCTTCTTTCGGGATTAGTCGTGTATTATTTGGGTACTATGAAGTTGAACGACTGAAGTAGACCTTTTGTCGTTTTTTACACATCCATTAATCTTAGAGAGTAAAAACATGATAAATTTAGAAAAAAATTAAAGTTGAATCATTATATTTTAATCAGAATTATGTGTCAGAACGTTATAATTTTAGTTTATTTTAACATACTCCAACCGGCTCATCCCGGTGTTCATCATCGAGCCTATAATAAAAAATCCCTAAATTCTGACGTTCTGGGGAAGAATTAGATTTATAATTCAATAGAATAAAGGGCCGACTCGTCCTTGAGAAGGGAAAACAAGTTTAAAGGGGAAAAAAGTAAAGAAAAAATATTATAAATGCAATAAAGATGCTATCTTTCGACCTCCTCTCGACGTGTTTCGATAGAAGAATCAGTTTTGGCATCGAAGGGAGTAAGTCAAGCAGCGAGTTTCAGGTTAA